TCCAACAGCGAAGTGTATGCCCAACACCACTATATATACGCACACTATCTATGTCTATGACACCAAATGTATATATATATCGCACGGCTATACCCAACGAGAGCTATATATCCATAGGAATACATACCATATATAACTTATATATACTGTACACACATATACTGTACACTGGAGTATAGATTTATATTATATATACACCGTATATGCCATACACTATACACTATACACACCGTTATTCTATTAAATTAATACTTAAAAATAAACGATTAGTTATGGTATAAAGAATCGCAAGTATTAGTCAAGAATTTAATACTAGAATTTCGTGCATATATTATATAAATTGTTTGCCGACATAAATACATAAACATAAATATGCGGTTATTTTTGGTTTGTAATTAAAATATAAATTCACTGCAAAGCAACGCAACGACAGACTAAAAAATAAAGTTAAAACACTATTAAACTAATAATAAAATAAAATAAAATAAATAAAAATGGATTAAACGCATAAATATAATTGTAAAAATTATAATATCAACTATATGTTAAACATATAATATACTATAAAAAATAAAAACAGACAAAATTAATAAGAATTAATGCAGTATTTTCATAAATATTAAAATAAAAACTATGTACTAAAGTAAATGCCAAAAATAAAATAATAAAAATGCGAAACAAACACTCAAATGCAATTATAATAAACACAATTTCAATATAAAGGGGTATTCACTAAGAAACTCATAAAATCACATTACAGGTACTGTACCTATAAAAAAAACAACACATAATATTCATAATTAAAGGGATCAAACATTATCTATAATTGCATTTGTGTTGTAAATTAAAACAAAAAACAGTGAGTATTAGTGTATTATATAAATGGGAGGGTAGGGGACGGGTAGCAGTATTAATATTGTGATTATCACCTCCAGGGATGCTTTTCTTCTTTTTGCGAGCCTTTTTAGCTTCTGTATGGGTTTCGGCACCGTTTGTACGTGTTTTTGGTTTAGATTATCGTGTGTATTATATGTGTTTTTATCAGCATTTGTCACAAAACACAGACAATTGCGAGTTAATAAGGATTTTTCAATTCATTGTCGCAAATCATAAGTAAGTTTTTGTTTGGTTTTATATCCGATACAACAAAACAGTGAGTGGTTTATCATTTTGGTTATCAAAAACACAATTGCATTGAAACGGGAGAAAAGAAAAGAGAAAAATAAAATTATTTTCATTAGATTATTGTCTACAAAAATATTACTATATTAATGTTAAAGTTATTACGGTATACCACTAATTATTATATAATTTTTGCACAAAATATCAAATGCCTAATCTGTAACTATTGATGCAAATGTCAAGATTTTTTAGATAATAAATGTATTTAAAATTCAAACATCAAATTCTGGTTTTGTTTGCATAAAATGACTTTTAAATTCATTATCAAAATTAAAGACATATAAAATGCAAACAAAACCCACAAATTCTGTAGCTTTTAATACAGAGTATTAATGCATTCAATAGAGAAAAAGCAATTAATTATTTAAACAAAAAAATCAAATCAAAAGATATTCAGCTATACAACAGAAAAAAATACAAATAATAATTTATAACAAAAACTTCTAATACTAATATTAATAATAATCACACAAAATAGACTACAAAAAGCCTGTATATACGCTAATAAACTGGAACTCATTTGTGTAATCAATTGCTATGCCTATCTCGTGGTTAATGATAATACACTGGTATGAGTGGGTAATGGATGAGTAGTTTATTTTGCGAGACAAACCCTTTTTCATTTGTTTCTTTTGAGCGTCGTCTTCGGATTGTGCCGCACCTAAGAGTGCGAATATGATACCCGCCTGCGAGTTGATGCCCACCGCGGTCACCACCATTCGCCCCGAGCCCTCCATCACGTGAGTGCCTGTAAAACACCCGACAAAACAAACCAATTAGAAAAACATACCAAAAAATTTCATTTTACAACTCATTTAACTATTGAGTATAAGATTAGTTGGCAATCATAGAGTTTCATAAATTGCATAACTAATGGTCTAATCGATAATTATGTGGTAATTATGGCACATATAGAGGGATAGAGGGGTACCTGAGAGGAGCATGGGGTCGGAGTCATTCCCTTTCTTCACGTGATCCGATTCGCCGGTCAGAGAACTCTCGTCTACCTTCAAGTCATTGCTTTGAATGATTATGCCGTCGGCCGGAAGTAAATCACCTGAAATGTCAAACCGTATAATCAATTAAATGCAAACATAAAGCGAATAGAGCGAGGAATCTGTTGGTATGAATGATAAGGAATGGGAGGGCTGTTAGGACTGGGAGATCATATATAAATTGCATCAAATAAGGGACTCTATTAAAGAGAGACAACGGCTGGGAATAGAGTGGATATCTCCAGGACAGGGATAATCAATAATTGAAGTGTTGATATATATAAGAATTGAGATGGTGGTGGTGTAGGTGTGCACATACCGTATTTGACTTGACATATGTCGCCGACCACGAGCTCGGCCACCAGTAATTCCTTCGCTTCACTGCCTCTGATCACTGTAAACTTATGCTCGTGTTCTATACGATTTTGCAAACCTGCCCGTCCATTACATCAACAATATGTACGGCCACACCATTCGCCAGATAACAAAGCAATTCAAATGAGTGAATAACATGAAAAAAAAGATAAATTTGTTATAATTAAGTACAATAGCAATGCATTGAAATAGTGTTTCAAAAATGAGAACAAAAATAACAACAAAAAACAGTTTTTCGACTCAAAGTAGTGCTGACTCTCTATCTGAAGACAATTAAGGATATAATCAATGAGAGAGAGAGAGAGAGAGAGAGAGCTAAATGTATAGCTGAAAGAGTAAGCCGATGGCAGAGATAGCGAAGGAGTTCTTCTCATTGAATGACTCGATGAATGAAATGATGAATAGAAACGGAGAACAAATGAAAAGCGAAACAAAATAATAGACATAAAAAAACAGAAATAGCAAACAGATTGTAACAGATCGGGAGAGACCTCTGAACTGTCGTTCCTTAGTGTAGTCATTAAAGGCAGTGACGAGGACAACGATGATGACGGACACCAGTATAGCCGCCCCTTCTATCCAACCGGCCTCCGACTCGTCCTCATGCACACCACCGCCTGAAATACAAAACAATTATCAAACATTATGGCCATTAATCGATTGAGACATCCATTAGTCGATAACAACAGCGATATAGACAGCAGTTGTAACGGCAATGTCTGTTAGTGGTGTCAGACCTGTCTCCTCGTCCTCTTCGCCGGGCGGGGGCTTATAGAAGGCCAGAGCCAGCGATATAATAGCGGCCACTTCTAAGATAATTAGCGTCACGTCTTGCAAGGCTTCCCACACTAATTGTAAGAATGTTTTCGGAGGTTTGGGTGGAATCACATTCGCGCCGAAGAATTCGCGTCTATTTTCCAAGTCTTTCGGATTACCCGACAAACCTTCAGAGGGATAGGGAAGGAAAGGCAGAGTAATACATGAGTGAAAAACAGTGCAATAAATATCAAATGAGAAACAATAATGCAAATTATGTACAAAACTTGGAGACAAAAATGTCATAAAAACTAAACTTTCACTATAAGACTATACATTAGCCACTAAACCGTAAAAATCCTGAATAATAAACAGAGAAATAAAAATTGACACAAAAAATATCGCGAAATACTGTGTTATCCGCCAAACACAGAAAATTTAATGAATAATTAATTTTAATGTTGAAAATACTATTTAAAACACGACTCCGAGAATACAATACTCTAAACACTGAAAAGACTGATGATATTTATAGAGGGATAGAGTGGTAGGGGAGTGGTGTGTACTGTATTTCACTTCAGGCAAACACATTGATACCATACCTTCGTTAGGGGCAGTGCGGAGAGCGTTGCAAAGGCCGAACACATTACCAAATTGTTGCTGAATTTTGGCGATACCCTCCGTCCCCCTGCTGTCCATCAGTTCCCGGAGCTGCATAACCGACACCTCATATTGAGGTGCGGGTTCGTTCTCTACCGTTCCCATGACTATAAGATAGACATTTAAAAATCAAAAATTAATATTCGTTTATATTAATAAATGAATATATTAATTAGCTCTTAAGAAATTGTATACAGTAATTAATTTTTACCAGGGATATTTTTACAATTGGTTACGTAAATATTTATTTTACTTTAAATATTAGCTGGTAAATCCATTACAAGAATATCTTGGTAAGCATTTCGCAAACAATTTCTTGAAACCACTATTATTTAAGAGTATATTATACGAGAAATAGTATATTACAGTCGGGAGCTCACGATATGAGTGACATTTACTGACTAATTGTGTATCAAATTAATTAATTTAATTGTTGAGCAAAAATACACAACACTTTTAACTAAAATTAAATTTTCGTCTCGCTCTACGAAAACAATAATTCATATCTTAATCCCAAATGTAATACACAGGCAATGGAAATGAATGCCAGAATTGAATGCAATGAATGACAAAATACTGCAATGAATTTGATATTTAGAGGGTCTCTCAACTCATTGGCAAACAATTCGTACAAATATATTAATTTACAGCAAAACTATATGTCTATTACTAAAAGTCTACTTTAAATCCTATGAACAAACACTACTACTATTTTATCAAATATATATATATGATAATATTTTTGAGACTCACTTATGAATAAGGGATTTATATTTGGCAAAAATATATATATTTAACAATTAATGGGCAGAAAAAATAAAATATTCAGAAGACAATTAAATACTAAAAGTCAAGACGAGAGAGAGAGAGAGAGAGAGAGAGAGAGAGAGAGAGAGCCTATGGGGGAGAGAGAAAATTCTTAAAATTCTGCACAAAAATCTCTATACATTATTCACCAGCAATTCTGTGCCAATTATAACATTAAAAAGCACTTAATTGTGTGTTTTTTCTTGAGTCACACTCACAGCCAGTATTGCGGCACTGAACATACAATCATAAACCGGGTATTCATAACACTGTACTCGAGTATAGGGCATTGAATATCAATGAAAATGTCATACAATATATTTATATGTAAGAAAATGGGGAAAAAATAATATAAAATAATAAATAAAACGACAAATCGTATAAAACATGAGAACCTGAGAAAAGTAATACTTTTTTCAATTGTTTGCCAATGAATAGCAATAATATAAGGAATAATAATATAATACAAGCGTAACATAAATGCATTCAATTATCGTGTATAACATAAAACATTATAAGTTATTATAATAAATAATAATAGCTATGAGAGAGAGAGAGAGAGAGAGAGAGAGAGAGGGAGGGAGAGAGTGAGTGAGTGAGTGAGTGAGAGAGAGAGAGAGAAATACAACAGTAAATACATGTAGTAATAAACAACAAAAATGATTACAAACCTTTTAGTTATTATTTAAAAAAATTTATTGCACTAATCAGCAGTATTTCAGTTTCATATTGAATATGAATATTAAATATTTTGAAACCAAATCCGTTGACAGACCTATAAATTGCGGGCGGAATGGGAGCACAAATACCCCCAAAAAGATACAAAACACACAATTAGTCAATGAGTTTTCATACAACACTTTCGATGATTTCATGGGAAAGGGATGATAGGAAGGGCTGAGATTTAGCCGAGCGATTCATTTGCGATAAATAGATATCCAACACAAACACTGGGATTAATATACACTATAAGCCGTATATTACTGTCGTATTCACATACACACACTAATAGTATAGCTATAATTAATTTAACAAAACCACGGCAAAAAATACACTAAATATATATATACAGTATATAATATATATAAAACATTTGATATATATTATAAAATGCGAGCAAAAAATACATTTTCTCCTCAAAATACACGGCAAACACATCCACACAATAATACGGCTTAATATGAGAGATTGGATACGAGTTTTTCGCTCATATAATATACATTCAGTGATTATTAATAGATATGATATAATACGAGAATATATATCATGTATGATATGATAATTAGAGACTCGCCTTTAAAACACATACAAATAAACACATTATTTGTTTGGAGTACTAATTATTATACATATATATAGTGGCCATCAGTAGTCACACAGCGAGAGAGTGAGAGAGACGGGAGAGAGAGACCGACTTAGAGAGAGCACAGAGAGAGATGGATGAGTGATGATGAGGGAGAGAGAATGGAAAGAGAGATAGAGCGGGGAGAGAGAGAGAGAGAGAGAGAGAGAGAGCTGGTGAGGGGCTGGTAGGTGATCAGTAGGATGGCATGGGATTCATATTAATTGGCGATTCTGTGGTAATCTCTGGTCTCCGACACAAACAGACATATAATATAAATTCACTCATATATCATATATAGATAGATATATGGAAATAACGGTTGATTGGTATAAATGGTTAAATGGATGTCCTTTTAGTGTTAGTTGGGATCAATTGAATGGCAAAAAGGATTGCATTGCAGTGTTTCCAACAGCGAAGTGTATGCCCAACACCACTATATATACGCACACTATCTATGTCTATGACACCAAATGTATATATATATCGCACGGCTATACCCAACGAGAGCTATATATCCATAGGAATACATACTATCCATAGGAATACATACCATATATAACTTATATATACTGTACACACATATACTGTACACTGGAGTATAGATTTATATTATATATACACCGTATATGCCATACACTATACACTATACACACCGTTATTATCCATAGGAATACATACCATATATAACTTATATATACTGTACACACATATACTGTACACTGGAGTATAGATTTATATTATATATACACCGTATATGCCATACACTATACACTATACACACCGTTATATTGTATATACGGTATGCTATGCGAGAGAGGGCGAGAAAAAACGACTGTCCGATCGATAACTACTGCCTCCAATTGGGGTCACGTTTTTCACTCTACAATACAATACACACCAGTAGTACCACCACTACTACCATCACCACTGGCACAGGCACTCAACACTCACGAGTAGGGCTATGCCTTACGATCACATATAGTCGGCTTCGACTGTAGCGCTGGTGGTAGTCATGTCTTCAGCACTGGTAGGCTCTCAGTGTTGGCCACAAACTCACTGCATATACAGCACTCGTCGTTATACTGGCGCTGCTGACGGTGTTGGCGTCTATACTACCAGTGCCTTCACTTTATGCAATACTTACGCACCGTTTAGGTCTGCGCTTCTCCACCACACATGCGATCTCTCTCTCAGACTCCCTGGCCATTGTTGGCACACACATAAAGTATGTCAATCCACCACACACCCACATCCCGGTGCTCAACATCGACATCACTCACCTTTAGATGCCCTTCCCGTTGCAGCCCATTCACCACTGCTTTCCAAACGCTATGCACTCAACGCTCCCATCGCTCTATCCATACGCACAGAGAGCACCGGTTGTTTGCAGCACCGGCACCTTATCTCACATTTGCTAATCACTCACACCTTTCAAGTATCCGATATGAGTGTACACTATAGCGGTAGTCCAATCATATACCGGTATATAGTGTAATATGATACACCACTTAAACAAACTGTACTAGTACATTTCACTACATTATAAGACCATTCAAACTGTTAAAAATAACAAATTTTTTTATTAAAATTTATTATTTGTTTCGATTCTCTCTCTCACTTTCTTAACAACACCTCTGAAACTATTTATTATAATAATTGAATGCAATTTGTAATTAAAATCCTATTTTAAACCTATTTCGCGATGATTAACGAGTCAGTGATCAACAGCTTCGGTGGAAAAGCATTGAAAACTCGATTAAAATACTCAAAGAAAGCTATAAATTGACAAAAAATGAGAACAAAAATATGCCTAAATTTTAAACCTAAATGTGTTTATTAAACACATTTAGGTTTAAAATTTAGGCATATTTTTGTTCTCATTTTTTGTCAATTTATAGCTTTCTTTGAGTATTTTAATCGAGTTTTCAATGCTTTTCCACCGAAGCTGTTGATCACTGACTCGTAAATCATCGCGAAATAGGTTTAAAATAGGATTTTAATTACAAATTGCATTCAATTATTATAATAAATAGTTTCAGAGGTGTTGTTAAGAGAGTGAGAGAGAGAATCGAAACAAATAATAAATTTTAATAAAAAAATTTGTTATTTTTAATAGTTTCAATTGTCTTATAATGTGAAATGTACTAGTACAGTTTGTTTAAGTGGTGTATAATATTACATTATATACCGGTATATGATTGGACTACCGCTATAGTGTACACTCATATCGGATACTTGAAAGGTGTGAGTGATTAGCAAATGTGAGATAAGGTGCCGGCGCTCAAACAACCGGTGCTCTCTGTGCGTATGGATAGAGCGATGGCTCGCGTTGAGTGCATAGCGTTTGGAAAGCAGTGGTGAATGGGCTGACACGGGAAGGGCATCTAAAGGTGAGTGATGTCGATGTTGAGCACCGGGATGTGGGTGTGTGTGGATTGACATACTTTATGTGTGTGCCAACAATGGCCAGGGAGTCTGATCGAGAGATCGCATGTGTGGTGGAGAAGCGCAGACCTAAACGGTGCGTAAGTATTGCATAAAGTGAAGGCACTGGTAGTATAGACGCCAACGCCGTCAGCAGCGCCAGTATAACGACGAGTGCTGTATATGCTGTGAGTTTGTGGCCAACACTGAGAGCCTACCAGTGCTCAAGACATGACTACCACCAGCGCTACAGTCGAAGCCGACTATATGTGATTGTAAGGCATAGCCTACTCGTGAGTGTTGAGTGCCTGTGCCAGTGGTGATGGTAGTAGTGGTGGTACTACTGGTGTGTATTGTATTGTAGAGTGAAAAACGTGACCCCAATTGGAGGCAGTAGTTATCGATCGGACAGTNAAACGACTGTCCGATCGATAACTACTGCCTCCAATTGGGGTCACGTTTTTCACTCTACAATACAATACACACCAGTAGTACCACCACTACTACCATCACCACTGGCACAGGCACTCAACACTCACGAGTAGGGCTATGCCTTACGATCACATATAGTCGGCTTCGACTGTAGCGCTGGTGGTAGTCATGTCTTCAGCACTGGTAGGCTCTCAGTGTTGGCCACAAACTCACTGCATATACAGCACTCGTCGTTATACTGGCGCTGCTGACGGTGTTGGCGTCTATACTACCAGTGCCTTCACTTTATGCAATACTTACGCACCGTTTAGGTCTGCGCTTCTCCACCACACATGCGATCTCTCTCTCAGACTCCCTGGCCATTGTTGGCACACACATAAAGTATGTCAATCCACCACACACCCACATCCCGGTGCTCAACATCGACATCACTCACCTTTAGATGCCCTTCCCGTTGCAGCCCATTCACCACTGCTTTCCAAACGCTATGCACTCAACGCTCCCATCGCTCTATCCATACGCACAGAGAGCACCGGTTGTTTGCAGCACCGGCACCTTATCTCACATTTGCTAATCACTCACACCTTTCAAGTATCCGATATGAGTGTACACTATAGCGGTAGTCCAATCATATACCGGTATATAGTGTAATATGATACACCACTTAAACAAACTGTACTAGTACATTTCACTACATTATAAGACCATTCAAACTGTTAAAAATAACAAATTTTTTTATTAAAATTTATTATTTGTTTCGATTCTCTCTCTCACTTTCTTAACAACACCTCTGAAACTATTTATTATAATAATTGAATGCAATTTGTAATTAAAATCCTATTTTAAACCTATTTCGCGATGATTAACGAGTCAGTGATCAACAGCTTCGGTGGAAAAGCATTGAAAACTCGATTAAAATACTCAAAGAAAGCTATAAATTGACAAAAAATGAGAACAAAAATATGCCTAAATTTTAAACCTAAATGTGTTTAACAATTATGTCTCAAAAGAAAAAATGTTTGTCACTAAAAAGTTTGTGTACATTTATTTGACAATTAAAACATTGTATTGAGTTTGAAAACTAAAATCTTATGCATTTGGAAAATAACAATTTTGTGAATAATTATCTCATTAATTAGTTAAATTAAAATTTCCTTTTGAATTAATTATATTTATTAAAACACTAAAACTTTTGGCCCTTATTGTTGTTTTGCAGCCAATTTTCTCTTAAGACTTTCGGGCATTTCCGGGGGCGGGGGTCGCGGCATACGGAGCCACACTTTGACCGCGTCATAGATGAACCACTGGAGCCCTGTTAGCGTACCGATCATAATAATCCTGGGGGTCAGACCCTTCCATACACCTGTCCCGCAATAAATGCAAGTAATGACACAAACAATTAGGAAATCATTATCGCTCATAATGTATGAGAAATTAATTGCATTCTCAATGAATACGGCAAAAAATTGTCACTTAATATCAAACAAGCGTTTAATTGCACTCAAAAATTGCAATTTGTGGCCAAAAATAATATTAAGTGTTTTAATGTCACACGTAATGACTCATCGCAATCATACGGCACTGAGATTTGAAAACCAAATCCCAGTCAACAGATTGCGACTTAATTGACGTGTAAGTGATACGTGAAATGTATGGCATTTCACAACCCTTTCACAGGGTTTACCGTAATTTAAATATTCATTTTGGTTGCAATCAACCCATTCATATAAATATAGACAATCACTTACCGCCAAATCCCAACTTCTTGAGCACCCCTCCAGCAGTGCTGCCCTTATCCTGATTCAGCTTCGATACCACAGTATCGGCCGGATGTGAGACAATGGCGCAGAAGACACCGGCTGTTCATCACAAACAAGACAATTAGTACACCAAAAAAAGTTAGTCAACTAATTGGATACACATTAGTGTCTAATAAAGGCGTGCATCCAATCATTGGTCACAAACTACTGACCGATATAACCGGCGGTGAACGTCACCGTCAACTGTTCCGCTTTGTTGCACTCAGCCCTAGGTTTGGGAACTACATGTTTGTACAGCAACTCGACAGTGCGCTCGAAACAGGCGAACTTCATCATCGTGTAGGGAATCTGTCGCATCCAGAGAGGGGTCAGACCCTTATAAAAGCCACCGAAGCCCTCGTTTTTCCAGATCTGCGGCATAACGACTCTCAACTGGGCGGACGCACCGGGAGATGTCTGGGTCCGCACCTTACAGGCCTCGAAGGGACAGAGAGCTATGTCGGCGAACAGTTCGGCGGAAGCACTGGACGCCAAATAGAGAGACGTCCGCCACTGATAGGAGGCCTCCTCGCCGATGGCGTCGGCGTACACTTTCTTGAACACCTCATATAAGCCAAACTTTCCCAGACCTGCAAAGGGTTCAGTCATTACACGTTTGCACCCATTGTTGCCAATTATAGCCAATTCAAGACCAGTTCAGCGCCAATACCTTGCAGTGAGTACCCGAAGGCGGTGGGCGCCCACCCACGGCCCAGCCCTCGCACGCCCTCCTCCTTGAGGGTCACCTGAAAGCCCGATACGATTCCCTTGAATTTGGTTGGATTCACTTGAATGCGACACTTCACCAGATCCAGGGGCGTGAGTGCCGTATGGGTGATACCGCACGACAACACGCCTCCCAGCCCGCAGAGGGCGAAGTACTTCGGGGACCCGTAGGCGCATGAGTCGCCCGGTTGTATCGGTTGCGGTGGACTCATTGCAATCTTCCTCAGCAGTCGATGGTGTGGTAAATGGGGTTCACGTGATCTCACACGAGATGTCTGTTATCTAATCAAATGGTAACCAAATAGCAGTGAAAATGAAACCAATTATCAAATCGTTGTGTAATTTGTTATAAAAATCTTTTTTATTACAAAAGCTTTTGTATGTATTTAACGATTACTTACGGATTATAATCGGATTAATAAATGGGATTTAAATGCTATTAGTGGTGACTGTGAGGGACAGACACGCGTGAACTCAATGGGAAGTGTAGGCAATGGCACAGAGAGTCGGCTCCGGTATTCAATGTCAGCAAAATGTCACTCTATTGAGGCCTGAGAGGCATGTGTTGGACACATGTGTCGACACTAACGTCACGATTGATAAACCATTCAATGGTTTCCCAATCGGTTTGTTGTGAGTCGACGACAGGTGTCGTGTGAATCACAGGCCATTCGTAAAGCATTTGTGTTTGCAATTCAATCCCAATATTCAAAGTGAAGGCTATTTTTCAATACAACCGCACAAATTACGGGCCAATCAACGGTTCACATATAGTGTTACGAATTAATATGATTAAAGTTCTCCAGCATTAACACTAGAATGGAGTTAATATGTAAGGGAGTCAGGGATACTAAATAAGTGGAGTTATTTATAACGTCATTTGATAATGACTCCTAAGCACATGCTTTGATATTTAATATTAGCCGTAATTTATTACAAAAATTATCGGTAAATTTTTTTGTCATTCTTACAGTACAAGTGTTGCCATCAAGTGCTGAGTGAACGCATTGTTAGCATAGAATCCATTGGAATCCAATACAAATGCATTGACAGTATTGTCCGCAAGCAGTGAACGGTCGCTGCAATCGAGTCGACAATCAAATGATATTCAAAATACAGCCTAAAGTAGTGTTCAATGAAAAAGTGCTTCAAAAATAAAAAACACATTAATTTGTGACAAAAAAAATTGTATTAAAAAATCGGTTAAACTCTCAGACAATCAGACAATTAGTTTCCAGAAATAGTTTTTAACTTTTAATATAAAAAACATATTTTTTGCCAATAAATCGGTTGTGAGTTTGCGTTTGTGGCCAAAAATCATCGGGTGAACAAAGTTTGACCTGGATTATATCCATTGATCGTACGATACATTATCACCGGATCTTTGGTCCCGAGCGCCGACCCGACAGATGTCCGCAAAGATGTTTTGCCAGAAGTTGAGCCCATTTTGGGTGATGAACCGATTGGTGGCCGTCGGCCACAGAAACCTATCGACAACTAATCCACT